TCAGCAAATTTACCAGTAACGTATGAGACCTATACATCAGCGTATTGCGTACCTCGAAATTAGGAGCAATTGAAATACTAAGAGGCTTGTGCAACACATCCAGTTGAAGCGTACCACCACAAACAGGCAATTCAACTGTACACATCTGAATCTCTATTTCAAAACCGAATTGATGTGCAAATGAGCGAAGTTCTCCAAATCTGTCCAAGTTCGGTTCAATGGGTAGATGGGAACTTAGGGACCGATAACAAAGAATGACGAAACCGGTGTTTAGCGGTCGAAGGATTTTCCGCAAACCTGTAGGTACTGTGACTTCCAGAATGAACAAAGTCAACACACACTCTCCCAGAGCCTAGCTGGTGAGACATCAAACGTAATTTCTTTAGCTGGAAGTTTGATACAAACTTGATCGAGACGATGAAAATCTGGATCATTAATTTCGGACTGATTCATCGTTCTACGTGTTAGTATCCATCAGCGCACTGAAGATGTCTACTCGAATGGTGACGAAACATTTGCAAATCAATTGCCAAGCTCGGAGAACAGATCAACAGATCAATTCCAACAAATACACCCAAGCTACCAATATTCCAACAGATTGGGATCATTTTCGGCATCCCAGGGTTGGCCAGGATGTGACGCATAACCACTACGCTGATGGTCGCTGTTCGGCGACTTGACGCGGATGCCGCGTCGACTCATTTCCGCAGGCAAGTATTGATTTCCACCGGTCGTCACCGGAGAAGGAACGATGGTTCCAACGGTCCAGATGTAGGCAATTTTGAGGACAGCCGTCGGTTCCGCGGGATGAGTTGCCCCCTTTCGTTAGTTGTCAACATTTGCAGTTCACCACATAATCCATCTCACGACTCAACTTGGGCCACTAGGCCCTCGGCCGAAGTGAGTCGTGTGTCTTGGTCTATCCTCTGTGTGTGTCATCACATGGCACTTGACACTCAGCTGCAGTCTCAAGACGCCTAGTTTCATGGGCAGCACAACATCAGGATCGGTGGCGTTCCAAGAAATTATGCCATATTCAGCCTGACTTAACTGGTCCGAGTAACCCTAGAACGGTTCCAATTACTTATTTCCCTCTCAGTTCTCAAAACGTCTTCCATCTAACTCTGGGGGCTTTGGATCGGTTTCGATATGAGAACTTCGTGCAAGCAGGTACGGTCCCAACTTAACCATGACCCGAACAATCCCTCAACATACTTTCTCACTCACCGAATACCTATGCTCAGCGTTGGTCAAGAAAAGACTGCCTTATTAAGTAAATTCATTCTTCTGCTTTAAGACTGTGCCGACAAAATAACCACTAGCGTCCTCTGCAACCGCAAACAACTGTTCGACCATGGGCAGTTTGAGGGTCGTTTGCTAATCCAGCATCCACGTCTTGAAACGCTCGAAATCCTCATGTGCTGCCCTGATTCAATCGCATACTCCATTTTGCCCGAGCATGTCGTACAGTGGAGCAGTAATCGTGTTAAAATCCTTGACAAACCGACTGTAGTACACTAGCCATCAAGGAATCTTTCCTAAAGTTTGCTTGAAATTGGAAGCAGCACGTTTCTTGATCTTTGAAGCCTCTTCTGGTATTGAAGCAACCGCTCGTGTTCCACTTCATGCCTCATCAGTGTCACCACACTCCAGGCTGTCAACGAATAAGCGGACCGTTAATTGGGCTGTAGCTGTCCCTTCGTTTGTGGAGGTTTTCGATTCTCCTAGCACTTTAGATAATGTACGGCACTGGGCTTGCGTTCCGAATGCTGATAACAATCTGTCAAGGGAAAGGACCGGGAGAGTGCGGTCCTCACGTTTGACAATGTCATATAATTATTCGATGGAATGGCGCTTAGTTCGTCTGGGACACCAATCACATAATCCAAGACCCAGATGATTAATGTCAATAACTTTTTCCACTTTATACCAACCACATAATCTGCGCTATAGACAGAATGTGCTCCCAGATTTGTTTGCCCTATGTCTGAGCTGACCAGATGCTCCTGCTTCATGGTCCTGTCGCCCGGGCGCATGAATTTTTATCCTGACTTCGTCGACCCGGAGCGGCTCTGTAAGCCGCTAAATTCTCACTTTTCGCTCGATGTGATCGTTGCAGTTTTCCCTCAAGATTATTTCAGTCTCCCATTAGCCTCAGCTCTTCGTCGATGAATTTATGTCAAACGTGACACAACCATGTATAACACCTAGTCAACGATGATCATCCGTTGAATAATTGCATGGCTTAAAAATTTGTTAGCCTCGGTAGACATTCAGTACGACCATCGCTGATGTTTCTACCTAGAATAACACGTTCACCCACGTAAAAATCACCTCCCCGTAGTTTTCGCGCAATACCTCATAAAAACTAGCTTTCACGTGTAATAGAATTATAAATTATTAATCAATCATTCAGGAGCTGTACTGCGCTGCCCAAAAAAGCACAAGTGTTGAGATACTCCTCAATTCAAAACAGGGGCAGCAGAAATGACAGGGTTGGGCCCGAAGCGCGGAACATCCAACAAGTATGTTCGCGCCTTAAACATTGAGCTATCTCGGGCTCTGTAGAGACAATCTCTCACTTTAGTAGGAGGCATCTGATAGTTGTTCTATGGTTTCAGTTGTAACTCTAAAACCTTGGCAGGGTGGGAGCTGGACCGTGATGCGTGATTCACTTCTATCGTTTTCTTGGCACCATCGGTCCGGGCAAACATGTCATGTTAATTTCCTTGCGTGTTGCTCAACTTTACGTCTCGTATTGTATGATGCGTGATTCACTTCTATCGTTTTCTTAGCACCATCGGTCCGGGCAAACATGTCGTGTTAATTTCCTTGCGAGTTGCTCAATCTTATGTCTCGTATTGTGGAAAGCGAAAGACATCATTTACGTTAGTTAGCCTGCAGCCTAGGGAAACACAATGGCGATTCATATTTAGCTTGCTCCTGCATACGGTGTTTCAGCCAACTTGGAGTGCAGAAACTCTTAGGTGATTTATCCTTGGGACACAACTAAGACCACGAGTAGCTTGCACACTTTGAGGAATGAGTTAACTCGTCATTTAACAGGATTCGGAAATGCAGTTTAATTTACAACCCTGTTTATAGAGACCAGTATACACGATAAAATTATTTTGTTTAAGTGGAGTCACCCGTTAAGACTAAGTTAACGTGCAAATGAAATTATTTGTATCTACCAGGAATGCTCGATTCCTGAAGGTAACCTAAGGAACGTCGAAACCCACTGAGACCCTAAAACTCCACCAAAATCTGAATAGAAAATCCAGCGAACATTCGGGCTAGTCAATCATTTAACCAACTCAGCAAAGTCCAATGAGTCCTCATGCACGCCACAGAAGCACGACCGAATATGATTAGCGTTCAGGCATCTCAAAGAAGCACTATCGATGTTGCTGTTGCTCACTAAACGGCATCACCTTGCCGGGGTCCGTACCACAAAGGTCCTACCAAATAGTGCGGGGCCATCGTAACTTTTGCACTCGCACGCATATAACTCACCTTATCGGTGAGTTCCTCCTTGCACCTGGCACATGAATGACGAAACCACTTTGATATAACGGTATCATTCCATTTAGTTCATTCCGACATGTACAGAAAAACGAGGTATAGTTGAAGATTCCCACCAGTTAGTGGCTAAAACCTGCTTTAGTCAATCATTAATTTCTGATATTTTTAATGCTCTAAAGTGCCAGTTGATTGCGCAGATGAAACATATACCATACGACAAAATGAAATGGTGCAACGGCTGCTCATATAAAGTCACAACACGTAAAGTTAACGGAACGGGAATTCCAAGATTCTTGGCGTGCTTACTGCCAATTCCTTCATTGCTTACCATTTAGCGAATGACATCCAATTCCGTGCTGATTTTATGTAGTGGTCCGTCTGTAGTGGTCATCGAGTTCAGTGAAACTTAGGATTTTTTGTATAGTGTAATCTACATTTCATTCCATCGCAGTCTGTGGGTTGACAGCTGTAGTAAAACGCAGAATGACTGTTTAGTATGGAATGAATTTGGTAGGTTAGTCCCAAGATAGACATCCGTGGAACGTGTGAACCAACTTTCACAAAGCATCTGCTCTGTGGCGTTGATTCCTATGGGATTTCCTATCAAATTTGTTTCACTTGAGCATCACATCATATGCCTATCTAAAGTAACCCATGAAGGTGAGATTTCTAATTAGTTGCTGAAGATTTTTCCGCATTCTTATGAGTAGCAGGTCATTTCATCAAAAGTCATACAGATTGTGTTGTGCATCAACCGTGTGGTCAGGGTCATTTGTGTCGCACGGCGTTTTACTGGTCAGTTGCCAAGCATCTATTCTTCATTCCCTGGTGATCGGTCTCCCCGTTGTACCGATTTCTGTGCGGTACTGCGCATAGGTTGTATCGAAACCTCCTTCCGGTTAAATGGATAGTGATTCTGGACGAGAGTCTTACTGCCTGATGTCGGTCCCGTCCCGCACCACGCGCATGAACACCAGCCAGTTGGTGAATACGATACAACAACATCATGTGGACCTAGTCGTAAAAGGTTAACCGCCAAAACAGATAATTTCAAAAGAATCTTTACAGATCTATTTGTTAGACCAACTGACGGCTAATAAACTACCTCGGCTAAGTATCCGATGGAGTGTTAAACCACTGAAACATTAAACACTGAAATCTGAGAAGCGTGTTTGAGTAGACAGACGACACAAAAACTGTTCTACCTGGGTCGGCCACCTGGCTTATTTATGTTTGTTCTGTGCACTTATCGTGTTATAATGAGTCAGGTTTGAGGAGGCGTCTTGATGCGTTTACAAAGCCTGAGAATCCGGACGGTTTTGCCTGAATTCTTTCGGTTTCTTGACCGAACGATTTTTGGATGCCTAGCTTGATGGAAAAACACAACCCATGTTTCGTGGCGATGGCAAAACACGATAATGACCAGCAGCAATTCATTTTATTTTGGCAAACTCACAAAACGCCACGCGTGTCCGTTAGGAACATAGGTTGTAGACGGAGTCAATGAGGCTTTCGGCCATGTATCCTGCTTTGCATAGCGCCATTAAATGAGTTGTGTGCTGGGCTACCTCGGGGAACTGAAAGCAGATAACTGGGCTACCTCGGGGACCTGAAAGCAGATAATAGGATCTGAGCTAGGAAGACTGAAGGTTCAAAACGCATAGGAATGACTGGGGTTCCCACATGTCGAGCGCAGGTTTGTAATAATCACTAAGAATGCTTTCAAACGATCAGGAATGTGCGTCACACAAGATAACAGGATCTGAGCTAGGAAGACTGAAGGTTCAAAACGCATAGGAATGACTGGGGTTCCCACATGTCGAGCGCAGGTTTGTAATAATCACTAAGAATGCTTTCAAACGATCAGGAATGTGCGTTCACACAAGATTGATCCTAACGTCCACAAGCAGAATTCAGCATCTTGGAGAAAGTGGTGATTATGCTAAACACTGGGGAAGATTGTCAGTGGGGCATACCGAATATCAAGCGGATGATGGGTCAGTGGTCAGTTGGTGAGTATCAGCATATCTGAATTCTGGACATTTTGAAGCGCTTTGATATAAACTCCCATGATGCTACCTTAGACCACGCGAAATGTTTCAGTTACGTAGCAGATGAGCGAAAATCTGTGAACTCTAGGAAACAAAATACGTAGTAAAACTGTCCGGTTTTGCCTTTCTTAGGACTCACAGGGCAGTCGCCGTTCCAGAGTTTCCGTCAAAATGGTGTTCTACTTGAGACTAAATTGTACGGATTTGGCTTGTTGGTAGTCCGCTAAAGTTATACAAGTTGGTCATTAGTACAGGAAACTGTTTATGCTCTTTTCGCTCAACCATCCACCGCCATTAGTTCAAATCGTATTAAATCAGACGAACGAGTAGAACGCCTGTTTTTCACCGGGCCTCCTCTGTATAGAATGGGTGTTTTTGGTTCCACAAACGCCCAAACCAAGGAAGTAATGCCCCAGGTTCTCTGATATTCCCACTTACAGTTGCGCGAACGTAGAGGTCAGCAATTTTGTCACTGAAGAGTATTCGTAAGTCATGCCTATTGGGAGATTCAAGGAATCTCCAGGGAACACTCAAGTGAGAATAAGCTGTGTACGAAGACAACACGTGATTCAACGATGATTAGTCCAGCCATTTATGCGATCGATTGCTCCGGATTTGAAGAACGGATAGAAATTGACCAAAAGCAAGTTCTTTTAATAAAGGCAAATGCTACACCACGTAGCAAATTCTTCACAAGCGGAGAGAACAAACAATGCTGCGATGCTGTTATTGAAGATATTGAACGAGTTCTGGAACCAATAGTCATATGATATGCCTCTCGGACGGATGTTACGTTAATGGAGAGTATTACCGCGTGTTTGTCCTTGATCATTTTTAAATACTGAAATTACTCGCAGAACTACGCATCCACGAAAACGTGTGAAAGAGCGTCGCAGAATTACGCATCTACGAAAACGTGTGAAAGAGCACAGTACCGTCAGTCCAGAGGGTCGGACCTTGCTAAGTACAACGTCGCCAGCAGCGGGCATCCGCGACCTCTCAAGCAAACTACTTACAGGGAGAATTGAACGGGATTCTGTAACAACGGCCGATCCTGTTGATTAAAAGTGCGGGATTTAGTTATGGATATTATACTAGGTTTGCCCTCGTACTTTTTCACCGCACCGGTGGTTCCAGCATTCTGTTAGATGGGCGCCAATTTGATCGGTAAATATTTTTCAAAATTCTGCGTTTTGAACGACAATTTCAGCCACAATTGCTAGTCAAATCTTGCTTCACTATATTCCTCAGCAGCATTGAACTCATAGATCATTCTGGAACAAGGAACGCCCTCATCACGACTGGCGCCTGTCAATTTCAATCAAGGGGTTCCACCTTTCCAGGAACGCCAACGTGGCTCGCCAAAGTAGTTGGAATACTGAACTTAAATTAGCTGAGATGAACTGAACTGAACTAAACTGAACTGAACTGAGCTGAACTGAGCTGCACTGAACTGAAGTGAAATGCACTGAAACGAACTGAAGTGAGTTGAAGTGAGCTGAAATGAACTGAACTGAACTGATCTGAACTGAACTGAAGTTGAGAAGAACATAAGGTTGACAGAAACTCGGGAACTGCGCCTACGTGATGAGATTAAGAAAGGCGAAACAACGCGTGGACTATCGAAGGGTTATGAGTATTTTCCTTTGTGAGTATTTTCCTTTTGAGTGAGTATTTTCCTTTTGGAATTGAATTCCGTTGGAATGAACTGAACTGACCTCAACTTAGTTGAACGCAGGCAGCTTCATCTAGCTGCTGCATACCTTGGTACATCGATATGCACTTTTCAAAGAATAGGAGATTCCAATTCATAACATTTCGGATTGCTTAAAATTCTGAACTGCCTAAATCACTTTCTACCTTCCATGAGCCGCCTTTGTGTTATCGAATTTAGACACCAATTGGCTCGGAATTAGTCCACAAAACTTTGAACTAATGAACACGAATTTTCAGGATTAAGATCCAATTTCAAGAACAGAACGAAGGTGCAAGTGATGTGAGGACCGGGTTTGCTTCGAAAGTTCCTACCGTAAAGGTCGTCTGCTTGCGTTTTATCTGGGCATAGTTTTGGGACTGAGGCTCGACATACGTGACGCCAGGGGTAAATGCATTTGCCGGTAACGTATGCAAGTGCTTGTTTTCGTACCTCAGGAGGTCAACTTACCTGCTGAATTGTGAAACAGTGCGTCCGGAATTGTTCGAATACTGCCTGAAAACACATGAGCTCATCTTTTTTAGTCAAGCCCTTCAGTGGTGGGTTATGATGGGTCATCACGTCCCCAACGATGTCGCGAAACGTTTCCTTGACGATGTGGGAAGAATGGTTTTGGCGGATTATAGGTTGACTATAAAAGGTGTGGCCAAGCTGAAAGAAGTGGGAAGAATGGTTTTGGGGGATTATAGGTTGACTATAAAAGACATCTAGCACATCAAAATAAACCACGTCGGATTTTTGGGTAGCACCATGAAACGACCGCGAAAATACAGGACTCATTACGGTTTACTTGCTCCCGTGTATTCGCAACACATCCTGTACTACATAATTCGAGTCTTACCTAAAGTCAACCTTTATATTGCTTTCAAATTCCAGTTGAGGATCAGTGGAATAAGAAAAACAAAATGCAAACCTCAGTTGCACGGTGCAGCTTCCGCCAAGCGGCTTCGTGTACTTGCTGCGTTGTGGCCTCCATTAACCGTCGAGACTTTGACAACAAATGTGCCTGCAAAGAGGGTTTTCTATCTACAGCATTCGGCTGGAAGCAAAAAAAATTGGGAACATTTACTATCAACAGGAGGTCTGACAATGCTGCCTGGAAAATTTCTTCCTAGATTACTCACTGTTAAGAAAAAAACTACATAATACCACTCGTTTGCCAAGGTTACGCAAATTGATGCGGAAATTCAGTCGCATGCATGTCATGTTGGGGTAAGTAGAACATCAATATACTTTTCATGTATTTCGCTAAACATTTGAAACGGGATGTCAACTATCGTGTGTTGTCTTAGGCCGTGAACACATCCAAACAATATCCTTGATGTGACAATGCCTTGCTGCAGAGCTAGTTAGCATCTTAATTTCAGCAGGTGATAATGCTTAGTGGTAAAGAACGTGTTTGGTCGGAGGGCAAAACAAGAAATCCACGAATAATTTCAGTCGGCGCAAGGGTTGAATTGTGGAGTGATACGTTTTCATATTAGCCCGATTATCACTGACCATTCTAAATGTAGTCATCAGACGCCTTATATGTATGACCACGATTCGCTCGCTCCGCTATATACATTTAGATGGACCACTAATCATCCACCGATCTGCCATGTACCTATCTATCAACTGAACGATTTATCTAAGAGTCTATCTCTCTCTCTATCTAATTATCTATCTATTTATATATCTAACTACTTACCTAACATCATTGCATCCATTCATCCATCCGTCTATGCATCAATCTATCTAGCTATCTATTTATCTCACGAATTATCTACCTATCCACACATCTATAAATCTATCAATATTCCTATCCATTCGTCCATCAATTCAACCAAACTAACAACCATCCATCCATTCATTAATCTATCCAGCAATCCGTCCATCCATCCATCAATCATTCCATCCATCCATCGATCCATCCATCAATTCATCAATTAAAATCTATCTAACTACCTATCTATCTAACTATCTATCTATCTATCTATCTATCTCTCTATCTATCTATCCGTCTATCCGTTTATCTATCTATCTCTCTCTATCTATCTATCTATCTCTCTATCTATCTATCCGTCTATCCGTTTATCTATCTATCTCTCTCTATCTATCTATCTATCTCTCTATCTATCTATCCGTCTATCCGTTTATCTATCTATCTCTCTCTATCTATCTATCTATCTCTCTATCTATCTATCCGTCTATCCGTTTATCTATCTATCTCTCTCTATCTATCTATCTATCTCTCTATCTATCTATCCGTCTATCCGTTTATCTATCTATCTCTCTCTATCTATCTATCTATCTCTCTATCTATCTATCCGTCTATCCGTTTATCTATCTATCTCTCTCTATCTATCTATCTATCTCTCTATCTATCTATCCGTCTATCCGTTTATCTATCTATCTCTCTCTATCTATCTATCTATCTCTCTATCTATCTATCCGTCTATCCGTTTATCTATCTATCTCTCTCTATCTATCTATCTATCTCTCTATCTATCTATCCGTCTATCCGTTTATCTATCTATCTCTCTCTATCTATCTATCTATCTCTCTATCTATCTATCCGTCTATCCGTTTATCTATCTATCTCTCTCTATCTATCTATCTATCTCTCTATCTATCTATCCGTCTATCCGTTTATCTATCTATCTCTCTCTATCTATCTATCTATCTCTCTATCTATCTATCCGTCTATCCGTTTATCTATCTATCTCTCTCTATCTATCTATCTATCTCTCTATCTATCTATCCGTCTATCCGTTTATCTATCTATCTCTCTCTATCTATCTATCTATCTCTCTATCTATCTATCCGTCTATCCGTTTATCTATCTATCTCTCTCTATCTATCTATCTATCTCTCTATCTATCTATCCGTCTATCCGTTTATCTATCTATCTCTCTCTATCTATCTATCTATCTCTCTATCTATCTATCCGTCTATCCGTTTATCTATCTATCTCTCTCTATCTATCTATCTATCTCTCTATCTATCTATCCGTCTATCCGTTTATCTATCTATCTCTCTCTATCTATCTATCTATCTCTCTATCTATCTATCCGTCTATCCGTTTATCTATCTATCTCTCTCTATCTATCTATCTATCTCTCTATCTATCTATCCGTCTATCCGTTTATCTATCTATCTCTCTCTATCTATCTATCTATCTCTCTATCTATCTATCCGTCTATCCGTTTATCTATCTATCTCTCTCTATCTATCTATCTATCTCTCTATCTATCTATCCGTCTATCCGTTTATCTATCTATCTCTCTCTATCTATCTATCTATCTCTCTATCTATCTATCCGTCTATCCGTTTATCTATCTATCTCTCTCTATCTATCTATCTATCTCTCTATCTATCTATCCGTCTATCCGTTTATCTATCTATCTCTCTCTATCTATCTATCTATCTCTCTATCTATCTATCCGTCTATCCGTTTATCTATCTATCTCTCTCTATCTATCTATCTATCTCTCTATCTATCTATCCGTCTATCCGTTTATCTATCTATCTCTCTCTATCTATCTATCTATCTCTCTATCTATCTATCCGTCTATCCGTTTATCTATCTATCTCTCTCTATCTATCTATCTATCTCTCTATCTATCTATCCGTCTATCCGTTTATCTATCTATCTCTCTCTATCTATCTATCTATCTCTCTATCTATCTATCCGTCTATCCGTTTATCTATCTATCTCTCTCTATCTATCTATCTATCTCTCTATCTATCTATCCGTCTATCCGTTTATCTATCTATCTCTCTCTATCTATCTATCTATCTCTCTATCTATCTATCCGTCTATCCGTTTATCTATCTATCTCTCTCTATCTATCTATCTATCTCCCTTTCTATCTATCTAACTATCTTTCTATTCATCTATCATAATTACTACCTATCTTTCTAAATCATTATCATATAGCTAACTGTTTATCTATCTGACTATCAGTCTATGTATATCGCTATCTATTTATTGATCTATCCATATAAATATCCACTCGTCCATTGATCCATCGAAATTTCCATGCGTTCATTCGTCCATCCATCCATCATTCCATCCAAACTTCTATTCTTCCGTACACCCATCCATCCATCCATCCATCAATCCATCCATTCATCCATCGAGCCATCCAACCATCCATCCAACCATCGATGCATCCATCCGTCCATCCATCCATTCATCCATCCATCCATCCATCCTTCCATCCATCCATCCATATGCACAACCTTCCATCTATCCATCCATTTATCTTTTTATCTATCTATCTATCTATCTATCTAACTACCTACCTTTGTATCTTTCCATATTGCTATCTATTTATCTACCTACCCATCCGGAACTCCATCAATCCATCCGTATATCGATCTCTCTATTCGTCTATCTATAAATCTATCTGGCTATCTATCTATCGATATATCTATCTATATAACTAATCATCCATCCATCCATCCATCCAAACTTCCAGGGACTCATCCATCCATCCATCCATCATTCATGCATTCATGCATACATCCATCCATCGATCCATCAATCCATCCATCCATGCATCCATCAGTGTATATCTCTAAATATCTATCCATCCATCCATCCATCCATCCATCCATCTGTCTATCTATGTATCTATCTATCTATCTCTCAACTGTGTATTTTTTTTATCAGTCTATCGAATTATTTGTAGCATACCACATCTAATGGCTTCTCAGATGGGCGTTGTTGGCCGCAGTATTTCTTTTTTCCATAAAAAATTACCTTCTAATTGAGGTTTTAGGGTCAGTCCTGAATTGCCATTCTATGTTGATAATAAATGGAATTGTAGGCGTTTCTGCCTCTGAACTGGCAACATATTGGAATGTCTTTTTAGTATGGAGGGGTCACTTGGTTTTACGAACAAATATCGAACATGGGGCTGAGCACATACTGGTATTGTTCGGTCAAGCCCGTGCATCGGTAGATCATAATGACCTTGGAATTTTCCAACTGGGAGACTTCCCATCGCCTGAAGTAAACAATAAAGAGACACGTATCAGTGTATTATCAACAAAGATGTCATCCTTGTCCATACAACCTGCAACCGTAGCTTTACACCTTAGTACTCACGCGTTCATGTTGAAAGATCCGATTAATCAATAACCAATAATTTCGGAACCGTTTCGCAAAAATCAGTGCGTAGCATTGTTGTCCACCAAATCACAAGTGCTATCACCTAAGTGTGCTCGTTCAGGTCCATGACGAAGTTCAAAACAACATTGACTAAATTTCTGCGAATCGGACTGAAGTGCAGTATCCGACGTGTCGATATGTGTTTCGAATGTGCACTTGGTTCAGCATGTGTCTGAATGACGTAATGCAGCTGGCTAGTTCACTAACGGCGTCGTCACATAGTATATACCAAACTTGAATCCCTGACATGCTTCTATCGATCGCCTGTACCCATGGTATTTGACAACTGCAATTATTTCTGCATTGAATGGATATTTTGACTTTCGATGAAGCCAATCTATGCAGAAAAACCGAGAAGCACTGAATCGGTGTTTCCTCTTTATTGGGAGTCAGAAGAAGTGCGCACCTCACTCCAGCAGATATTTGATAAATGTTCTGCCACAAGATGCTGAGCTGCATTGTGATTGGCTTTCATTTAGACAGCACAAAGCGCAAATCATCGTTCAATCACGGAAAACTACATCACCTGACCACGTATTGACTGGCCCATTGAGTGTGAACTTGTCAGGTGTAAGTTTCAGTCATCGTGTAAATTCATTCTACCTCCGAGTCACTTGTGGTTGATTCATAAATTTTTGACTTCCGTTGGTACCATAGCACAGGAACGTATGCATCAAAAAGTACCAGAGCCATTGCTTGGTTATCCAGAAAATGACACCGGCTAGGCTTTGATATCTAAATACCTAGACGGGCAACCTTGCTGCACTTCATCTATGGAATCTTAAATAAGGTATTTTCGAAATTGACAGCCACATTTGAAAGATAGCGAAATGCAACTGATATCTGATTTTCATAAAAGTTTGATTTCTCAAAAGTTACTCAACTGAATTTCTCCATGGCTGCGTGTGACTCACCATCTCATCGTACTTCATCACGTGACTATTCACTGTCCTATTTTTCACCTTCTCGTACTGTTGATCCAATGTATGCTTTTTGAAGTCATGCTGCGCTCGAGGGAGAGATGATGACAAATGGAGGCTACGTGAAGTATGCGGATACCTTTGCGCAATTTAAAGATTGATTCAATGTAGGCAAAACCAGGAAACTGTCACTAGAATTAAGACAGCCGCGGTATGGGACGACACATATTACTGGTACATTAGTAAGCACTCCGATGTTGCAGGACGACACATCTTAGGGGTTTGATGCTCTATGGTGATGATCACCGATATCATCGCCATCATCATTGAGCGCAACAACAGAGGAAAATACGGATGCTGCACTGCCGTACAAGCATTCCAATTTATTTGTACTTGAAGGGTTTGATGCTCTATGGTGATGATCACCGCTATCATCGTCATCATCATTGAGCGCAACAGCAGAGTAAAATACGGATGCTCCACTGCCGTACAAGTATTCCACTTTATTTGTACTTGAGAAAGTAAGGATAATTGAACAGGAATGAATACAGCATGAAACAGCATGGACGCCGATGACAACGCTGAGTTGCCGTATCATTCTGTGTCTCTAGCCGAGCACTGGGAGGATCAAGTTGATCCCATTCGGAATGGCGAAAAACACCAACATTATTCAAACTTTTCCTAGAATCTTTAACTCCATTTCGTCGTATCAAGTTCTGTTCATCTGTAGGTTTATAACAATCCGGATTGGGCAAGGAATACAACACCCTTCTCGGCAGTTAGTAACTAAACATACGTACTGCATGGCCCAGCCAACTTGCGTTGCAATGCCGGGCGCATATCTTGAACAAAGTATGCTCTGCTAGGGTAGCATTCAAATGACATTCATTTGTGATGCATCGGGATATGTGAGAACTCGACTGAGGATGACCTAAAATCCGAGTTAATGTTTATCCGACCAACTTCGTTTCGACAGATCTATTGAGACAAATTCGTTCAGGGATCCATTGTTACCAAAATCATCATCAAAATGATCACCCACGTCATCATTATCAGAATCCATATTCAACACTGACGATTCCCTGCGCGCATTCGAATTTCCTTTAAACCCTATTCCGAAGAAGAAAATTGAAATGAATGGGGAAAACCTTAATGCCGGACTACCACAATAATTCCGATGCTCCTGCAGCCCTAGACACTCACTCAGGCGGTCTGAATCTAAAATAACAACAAGAACTCCACTAACAATAATTCAAGGGCACAATTTCTAAAAAAATACCCGAACACAGTGGCACTCAGTCAGCCTCCGTTTTAGGGGGCGAGGTACACCGTCGGCACCCAAACTTTTGATAGACTCTTTCATACCCCTATGCATACTTCTTCATACCTCTGCAATATCAGAGGTTAGCGTGATCTGGAGGATAGTGAGAAAGCTTAGACATCATCGGGTGGTCGTGATTGCTGAATTAACATAAATGTTGTTCATGCTTCAAAACCAAACTGGTGATGAGGCTGTTGGTGATGTTGGTGGAAGTGATGAGTAGTCATTTGCAAGCTGAAACGTCTATCGAAGATTAATAACCAGTCTCACAAAGGGCGCCGTACAACTGAAGGAAATTACTGCTGGGTAGGTTGCAGACCAAAGGAGAAATTTTGCCAAGCTTGATGCAAGTTAAACTAAACCGGAGCTGACATATCCAATTTTGTTACACCATATGTTTGATCTGTATTCGGAGGTTGAATTTTGGGATGAGTGGACAAGTTTACGTTGGCGGAACCATTATTGAATATGTTGCCGAAATTTTCCTTACCAGAATGATTGCCGGATAGCTGTAACCATCCACGTGCAAGACGGGTGGGTGATAACTGAGAAAAATACATCCGCTCGGCGCATAACAAACAAGTTCCAGAAGCCAAGACAAAATTTTGAGCTTACTTTTCACAAATGTCATTATTATTTGCAGACTCCAGAAGATGCCTCTCCCCAACCTCATCCAGAGATTTATATTTACTCCAATCTTATAGCTAACACATTAGAACTAAGCAACTAAGTGTTATACAGTATAAAGTGGCCTATCACTGGCTCCTGACTATCACCGGATTATCCATCCACAACTGATGGGTTTACCTACCGCAGTTTTGCTAATACTTACGTTTTCCGAATCTTCGATCCAGGCGTACGCATATTCACTCGCTAGACAAACATCGATATCCTTGTCGTCACAAAAAATAGACCAGGATTTTTCATTTTCCTTGGATGCTGTTGTCACGTAGACTGCAGACAAAAGATAATATAGGTCACCATCAAATATGCATAAAATAGTGAAGCAAATTATTGGCAAAATGATCCTGTGACTCTCAGAAATTGTATCTGCCTGAAATATGCAACTAACATATTTCTCAGAAGGTCTCTGACAACACGTTGTCAGATTTCATGGTTTTCACGCCTCTTGTGGCGTATCAGGTGGGCGAAGACCTAATTCTTTCTTGAACCAAGACTCGACGGACTGGCCAAAAACTCTCATGAACGTGACCATTCACTGGGTTCGGCTGGGTCAGCTCGTAAAGATTAAATCAGTATGTGACTGCATAATCTGTATTTTTTGTTGCATGAAAGCATCTAACCTGTTGTTTGGTGGGTTAAAATGTAAGTTTTACAAAATAGCCAAGATCCATTCACACTCTAGAAAGATGGTATCCGCCTGCAATGGTGATTGCTGGACAGGGCACCAAAATATCACAGGTGTTGTGCGGGTTACACAATGAATTCCTCCACCGATATGCAACTAATTCATCAGCAGAAGCGATGACAATCATTTAAGGCTAAATTTTGTGCAACCCCAATTTCAACGGTTGTTGAGTTGAGGCCGAAAGTACTTCCTACACCAAAATATCACAGGTGTTGTGCGGGTTACACAATGAATTCCTCCACCGATATGCAACTAATTCATCAGCAGAAGCGATGACAATCATTTAAGGCTAAATTTTGTGCAACCCCAATTTCAACGGTTGTTGAGTTGAGGCCGAAAGTACTTCCTAACAAGGTTCATAAAGAAGACAAGGATGAACCAAGCTTGGAAATTTGGTTTGTTGTATTGGCAAGTGCAAGTAACCATATATGAAGGACATTCTGAGGGCTAGTACTCAGAGTCTGCAAGACATCCAGCCAAACATTTGAGCTACTTACTTCCCACATTTCGAGGAAGAATAGTTCGAAACAAAGAGCCAGCGTAGCAAGCCTCCACGTACAGCACCAATTTGTTGTACTTTTTTTTGAATACATGTGGGCGAGAATCTCGTTCAACTGCACGGCATGCAGCTGTCGAAACACAAGAACGAAAATTCTCGTAAGATTGCGATGCCGCAGGGATAAAAGCATGAACTAACAATTTCGAACCCAACCTCAACATTTCCACTGTTCCAGTCTGGGTTTGGGCAAGCTATCGGTGTCTCAGCCCTCGTAATTCAATAGGTGGAATAACAGCTACGCACCGAATGGGTGTTCCAGCTGAACGACTATTGGTTTCCTTAGAAATACTGTTTAAAAGAATCAGATGAAGGACAACGTTTGAATGCGTTTTGCTTAGTCATCCTGGAGTCACTATTGGGTACCATGTTAAAAGCGTTTTCGTACCACGGTATATGAGTGGGAGTATGTTCTCTTGCAGTGTTGGTCAGCTATACTATTGAGAGTGCTGTAAACCTCCCTTGAAAAGAGCGCTCATGGACCATTATTAGAGTGCATAAACTAGCAGTGACAATGTCAGAACGACTGGTTTTCATGTCACTCCGATTGTCATTTTCATCGCCGTTTTCAAACATTTGTCCCACTAGCCAATCTATGGAGAGTATTTTAGCCCTAATCAAAATTCACGAAATTCAGAGTGATTTCCACAGAACTGAACACTTTCACATGTGATCTCACTACAAAGAGACTGTAAATAGTTCAAAAGGAACACTGATTAAAACGAAGGATGAATTTTTTCATTTGAGAATTTGTCACTCGAGCAGTCAGTCATCAATGGTGTGAATCCCTTGATTGAAGAATGGGTAACGTTGTGTCTTGATCAATTGCGGACAAATGGGGCTGTCATTTGTCTTCCCGTGCCGAACGGTTTAATATTGCACCACTGATGGATCCCATTGAGGATGGAACCGCCGTACATTGCTTCCCGGGTTTTCCATCAGACTGGTTTTCCAAACAGAAATAGGAAAAGATGTTTGTACTACCAACGATACGACCAGCTTCTTTGTTTATGGTAACTACGTTTGCTCAGAAGTCTAAACGGGTCGACCCCGAAATCATGTGAGTTGAGCGACCTAATCTGAGTGAAACGAAATATTGACGCCAAAGTTTAAAGCACCTAGACGAAGTCTGATAAACTTGAATTGCTCTGGATATCACTTTTGAGATAGACGTCCGAACCTCGTAGTTTGTGTTCCATTTTCCCGTTGATGTGTAGGCCAATTTTGATTATACACTCTTTTATAAAGATTAATCGATTATACCAACATGTTTATCGAAGCCTCTCCAAGCCGTCTTTCATTTAGATTCCTATTGAAAAACTATAGCGAATACCAGAATTTACTAAACTTACTTCATCTGCCAACAAGGTAAGAAAGGAAACCCCACCATGCCCAGAATAGAAGATGAACACGTTGTCATCAGGACCGCTGTGAGTGGGCAGAAAGGTTAAGTTGGTCTTGAAGAGGAGATTGTTGGGTGGCGTAACCAAAGCACAATAAAAAACGACAGAACTATGAAGATAGCGAACACACCGATCAGAATATTGATTTGTCCACGCTACTGGATATAATCGGTGGTCAAATTTACTTTGAACGCTCTGCTTTTTGGAAGGCAACTTGAATGCGGGAATGAAAAATTAATTTTTGGACGTGCGTTGTTTTATTGTTGCATCACGTGGTATAGTAGCTCATATGGTTTGGAATGCATGAAGGTGATTGGAGGCGGTTTTATACTTCAGTTAGTTTCATCGTCGTGGCATTGAAACGGTTACCCTCAGCTCTTTTGAAATCATCCTCTTACTAGCATGATTATGTCTGTGCACGAAAATATCTACAATACTGAGGTACATATTTTAACAAACGGGAGCCGACCCTACATTATGAAACGGGATATCCAAGAAGCCATATGTTTTTATATGAAACTCATCCGGATATGTGCTGATTGCTTGTCTTTGCTCAAGGGGGCAGCCGTCGTGCTCGGCGTTTTTTATTTCAAAAACTCCATACTCTAGGCGACATTCAATATAATGCTACTGACAAATTATTACTTTGCGGATGAATTCAGGAATGTGTGTATTTCAAACAGAGTGCTTTGGGAGGGTGAAGGCGTGAACTCCCCACTTCAGATTATTGTCAGGACTGGCGAAACCTCACAGTAGGGCCTACTAGGCCGCTACCAGACCGCTGCTTTGGAATGGTGACCAAACGTTAAACAAGTCATAAAGTTTCCGGAAGCGAGATGAATAATGACAGTAGACCACAAACTAACATGAAGCTCTTGAAGAAGGTTGTTGAAAAGTTTTCAAACAAATGGGTTAGGGAGCTAGGTATATTTATTTTATCTTTCATCCCAGGCCTTCCAAAGAAACTCGTTTACTCAGGAAAGAGTGGGTGATTAGGGATTGCGCCGCAATTGCAAACCCAAACGGTGTACACCTGACCTATGCCCATGGTATAATAATAAGGCACAGTCTGAAATTGAACAAACCGGGTTACCCATAAGGTGAGAAAAATCTTTTTGAGTGACTTGGAGGAGCTTCACTTAAACAGGTAATGTGCCAAGTTACTTAAGATAATACTAAACACGCATTTGGTCAAACGGCTGACCTGGAACACTAGAATACCAGTTGTGATCTGCAGGTGCATCAACAATATCCCCTTCAGCACAAACTCACCTTTTCAGCACCTTCTTATAGGCTGCAAGTTGTTCATCACCTTTTAATACTTTCACGAAGTTATCCAGTGTGACATCCTAAAACAGATGAACACGCACGACCAATGATTCCCGCGACAATAATGTTCTCCACACTCATCCTATTCCAAATAACCATCCACATTTCGCCTAATACATAATTGAAATCTAGGATCCGCTCACCATCTTCACTCATTAATTCCACGATTTTCGCTCTATGATGAAAAACTGTTTCCCAAGCCCAGTGTTAGCAGTTGAGCAGAACAATAAAACCTACCTGGAAATATTAAATCAGTAGCTAAGTAATACAACTAGCCGCCATTTGAAGTGAGTATCACTCATCAGCGCTCAACTGAATCACAGTGGATGGTCTAATTTACGATATTCTCTAGCTGAATTTGCTCTCTTGGAATCGCTGCTTGGTTTGGTTAGTGAAGCATTCGAGATATCACACAATATTTCCTCGGAGAACACTATTCGTGCACTGATGGTCGCCGTGCATGTTTAATGGTTTTTTGACATGAACGCTAGCCTACTTGATAGGCCGAAAGCAGAGGGTTAAAACCAGTCATAGACTGCCAAGTACATTTATCTTCCTGCAATATAGTAAAACTGGTTAGTCTGTCCTACATTTTGTATTCTGTTTTGATACGCAGCGTCATTTTACTTGCACCCCGTGTTCCACGGTTAACCTGATGCAGAAATCCATCTGCACCGACACTCGCACATACTTTTCCACGATAGTCAATTTCCACACCCTGGTATATATCTTCGTACAAGTAGTCATGGAACACTTTGCCTTTAAAGGGATTTCTGGAATGAAAGAATGAAAAGTGGCGGCGGGTTTTATGAGTGAAATTAACACGTAGATTGTAAAAAAAACGAAAGGCTAATAAATTGTGTTGGAAGTTGGTTCCCGGGCTTGTCTTGGAATACATTTTCACGACGATTTGTGAAACTTTTGTTGCACATTCGATTTACTAATAATCCTTTAGGGAGAAATAAGTAAAGTATCCTACAATGATCCCGATATGGTGCACAACAAACAAAATGACAAATGTGATGTGAAAAGGTGATTCTCTTAGGTAAATTGACGTTGAAACACCACCAGTAGTAGAGGAGCATCTCCTCTCCTCATCCAGTGCCCTTAAATGAAATTAGATAGGCAATGAACGACTTACGATTTTTAGAACCTGCAGGCGAGATCAAACATTCTGTCTTCAGAAGGTTTCCTCCACTTATACAGGCAATCGACTGTGGTACAAAATATTAAGCGTACTAGATTATCTGTTTAATATTCGCTCCAAACCATCGACTGTGATGATTGTATCGGGGTTCTGTGGCCTTTACAGTCATGAAAAGCCATGAACGAAGAGAAAATTGATTACGCATCTCACGTGGCGCACACAAATTCATAATCATCTGCACCCAAAGTTTATTCATGATTTACGTCTACGAGAATAATGGCTCAACGATGAGTCAACAATGAGTCAACAAAGTCAAACAACGAAACGCGTTTTAAGCATTGTAGTGGTTATCGGATAGGAAACTTTATACGTGATATTTACTTGGGATTGTTTGCAATATCGTCGTAGGCGAAAGTAATTATATCCTCCGCTGGAACGTGGTTTTTACGCACGACTTGATACGCGTGGAAAACGTCAGCCTGAATGATAACACAAATGACACCGGAATTAAAGAAAACAGGCAGAGTGATACATGGAGTCTAAAAAAGGCAAGCAGGGTGTGTAGGATAATCCCTACTTGGTGGGGTATAGGGATGCATTATTCCAAGCACAGGGAGCATGATTCTAGACTGGAAGGACTTGTGTGGACCACAGTTCCACATTCAGTCAAGTGTCAGAACCTGTGCACCGGAGTTGTACAACGTTTGGATCACTTGACTTTGAAAATACGTCCGAATCTGTCGATCGCCTGTGTACTAGATAAAAAGCCACATTGCGGTGAAACTCAGTGGCAATATAATATCACCTACTGAATCTGAAGAATGGATACAGACGAACTCATTATGTGTAATATTTTCAGTACGATCCTCAACGACCTCAAGTAAATGATGCTCCAGTGGACGGACGATTTTAGTGAGTTGGCTTTCTACATGTTATTTGAAATANTATTTTCAGTACGATCCTCAACGACCTCAAGTAAATGATGCTCCAGTGGACGGACGATTTTAGTGAAGTGGCATTCTACATGTTGATTTGAAATACACGCTTACCACGATGTATAGAATTGCTTGTTCAGATTGTTTATGAGTTTTCATCGGTCAGTTTAAAAACCAAAATCTGTCCGTTTCGGCTCTGAAAAGAAGTAAACAGGCAAATGTTCGGTGTCCCAATCATCTTCATACGCTGCATGAGTGTGTATTCTTGGAGGGCCTTCTTGAATGGATCCGCCCTTGAAGGCTAGGCAACAAGGTGAACAAGGTTCGTCATAACTTCGCCAACTACGATTACCTAAAGACCCTAGATAACACCTTGCAGTTGGAATATATTTCATGTAAATACATTCTAAGTGAAATCAAATCCTGAAAGAACCTCGTAGATTGTTGCTGTCCGCTCGTTGCCAGTTTTGTCACTCGAACTAAAAATCTACCGTTTCTGGGTCCGTCAGAATGAGAGGATGGACCTGAAATAGGCCTGACGGTTTGTGCGTCTAAATTACCCACTGAGCAGTGTATATCGGCTATTCACAGACCCTCCCATACCAGGTTGTTCTATCGGTAGAAGTCCTCCACATTGGGGTTTGTCGTAATCCATATGAATTCGGTTTAAGAATTTAAGCTCCTCTGAATGCCTGCACCATGGACCACCATTTCGGGAATGTACAAGTGTAAGTGGGCTTCCGGAATGAATGCCTGAATCGCGCACACTCAATGGCCTACCTTCTATGTTCGAGTGTCCCGGTGTACAGGCGCATACTACGGATGACACATGCGAACACCCTGCTGTCTCTTCCAAGTTCCGCTCAGTCGTTTAATGGAAGGTGAAGTTCGTTAAGAAACTTGTGGGACCGCTTTAAGACCATGATAGTAAATGAATAAGCATGAAAACCGAAGACAAATTTTGAGAGTTTTCGGATTCGAAAAACTGTGCGCAAATGAGATGCTTACTTTCCTGTCCAATAGTTCATGGCTGTTCAGCTGATGTTTGCTAACAAACGACTTTGAGATGAAGGACTATCCTTGTTAACACGGCAGCGTCACAGCCTGGTTTCAAGCATGGATTGCACGCTCACAAATATCATGTCGCATCGGCCTCGAGTGGTGTCATCAAACCGATGGCATTGTCTGCTCTATACCGCAGGGCGGGTGATCGACACAAGGCTACTGATGATGCCTTTCTTGCTTCTCTTTCATATATTCGGTATTTTCACTTTTCTCATCCTGATGCTAGAGATATCCATATAGATCCCTTCTTATATTTAAGGGCTCAGTTCGCCTCCCATTGTCGTCAGCTGCAACATCCGCGGTCAAATCGGTTTCCACAGCTTAAAACGCTCTAAATATTTTCTTCAGTTTGCCTGTCACTCTTTATTGTGTGCACTCTGGAACAAGTTGCACAGCATGTTTTTGCACTGGGTTTGCCATCGGTTTCCTCGTAATGAGGATTTAACTTCTCACTACGGTAGCTGAACTGCACAAGTTGCGTGTTTCAGCTCGCTGTCATTTGCATGATCCGGAATCAAGTGTTGCTATTTTCAATGATTTCGGCGCGGCCTCCGTTGCGAACTGAATGTCTCCTGGGCCTAATTACGTCAATTCGCGAAGACATTTTCATGACTAGGAAGCAGCATTTTAGTCCTGAAAGTATTGTGTGAAACACAGCTCACAGTCAAAACAACGACAGGCGTACCGGAGCTCTACACTATTGTCATTCCTTGACTTCGAAAGTAATACATTCGATATTTTCGTTCGTTTCTTCACTGGACAAATAATACGGTTTCAGCGAAAAATAGCGGCAACAAAATATTACTAAGTGAATCTTAGGATTGAGTACAGATACATTCGAAGTGTGTGACATTTTCCATGCGATCCACATGCAAATCAGTCAGGAATGAACGAACGAATTTCATCAAAGTGACGTTCCATGTTTTTAATCAAATTCGGATGCCTTCATCGTACCAAGTAGTGTACAATTATTTGCATACATTGACTAGCGATAGAATAGATCTGTTCGGGGTGAAAACTAATTTCGATGCGACAACAGTGGACTTTCTTTAGATTTCTGACACCCGGTTTGTTCATCAGGTCAACTGAGAGCGCATCGGTAACACAATGAAGCTACAAAGAAAGGGTAAATAATTAGTGGTGGCTCGATCAACGTGGGGGCCGTGGGAATACTCATGAGTTTATGCAAAACAAACCGCCCACTCACAGTCAGTGATTCCACCTAACATAACGATGTCGGTTTTCTACTAACGTGAATCACGTTATGCAAGTTAGAAATAACCGGTGAATCGAACCACTCAAAGCAAAATATCACTGTATGGCTGACGAAAACCAACACAAGCTACGCAATGTGTGTCTATTAATGGGTCCATTAGTCGCGCCTTCTATGAACCGCCTTCTAGAGTGAAATGTCACAGCCATGGAGAAAACTAGTTGGGACACAGCTGATTGGGGTATGTTTAGTTCAAATTTTCACCTTGGAAACCCACGCTTGCGGGATTTGGATGGAACTTTTAGTTTCAGAACAGTGAAAGTCAACGGACATCTACTTGATGTCGATAATTTCTCCAGGTATTGGTACCAGCCACAAGGACAACCCAGTTCTTTGACAGATTGTTGTTAAATTTGGATGACCAATTGTGGACACCGACGGCGTTCAAACGTGCAAGGTGATTGATGCAGAACAAGAACGCAACTAGAAGCGAACAACGACGCATCATGTTCAGGTTTACTTGAAGCTTCACATGCCTGGAATTTATACTGTGCGCCTAGTGTGGTAATTGCACTTTGCCTTACACATGTATGCGATAGTGGGAAAAAAACTCTCCACCAAGTATCTAATAGGTCCGCGGTACAAAGTTTAACCAAACCGCGATATGATGTGCCGTTTTGATCACCTTGTTCAATGACTGTTCATTTGCGCAACTTACTTCCAACACTATGTGCACGGGAGTAATTTTTGGTGTTTTCTAGCACAAACATGACTCATTTCGTTAAGCGCCCATGCACTTCAGGCAGTAGTGAAGAGCAAACGGAGTCTGCGAACGGGTTTCGCGTAGTAGCTGGCATCCTATTGACTTTGTTCCAGCGAGACTTTGATTCGGATTTCTGCGTTTAAAAATCAAAGTGAAAATGTACGTGTTTGCAGTAGGTGAACCCAAGCTTGATATTTCTGAGAAGCTGTGTATCTTCTCACAGTTTACACCGGGGGCTTCATGCCGTTCATGGTTGATTTTACTGTGCGACATCGAAGGTCACACAAAGTCTTGAGCCAAGGAATTTACTTTGACGAAACATGTGGTGAGCTCTGTGCGGGTTTTCAGAAAACGTATGAGGTCTGCGTTGCGTCCAAAATAAACAAATTTAACATCTCGTTAGTATACCGCGGCAGGCATTCATGATATCTTTAACAGCCAGTTTTTAAGTTGTGTCTCGTTAGGCCGCATGTGCTTAACCGTAGTTCCAACTGGCTGCAGATCACAAGGATAAAACCGATATACACAATGTCTGTCTACCACAGTCAATAATACGAACAGTGGGATATGGGATTTAGAAATGCAATTCTTGTGACTTTTTCCGAACATGCAATAATCGGGAAATGAAATGCTACACCTGGTAACGCAAAAATGACAAGTCATTACTCGTTATCGAAACAAATGGGAATGAAGTTCCGTGGTTTGTTTTTTCATGATAATATTAAATAGCAAATCTACAAGGTACCCCGGCCAGTGTAATATTCCACTCCGTGTAGGTAAACAAGTGCGTAGTCCGAATGTTTTTTCCGTTCTTTTCCGAAAACCCTTCTTTGAAGCAAAGCTATTACCCGAGTGAAACTCTCTGTGTTCTTAGATGGCACTTATACCAGGCGAAATTCACAACAGGCCTCAGGTTCCTGGTGAAATGCTCAGAAAAGTGAAGGGGTGAAATTTGCGAGGATATAGGACTTATGTGCAAGTAAAATGAGATGAATTTTGGCCATTCTACCCCCGTACACGGCGAATGGCTCACCCTCGCATGGAGTGAGGTTTAACGACAAGACCCGAAGGTTGGTGGAACCGGTGTGGGCGAGAACTCATGAGCAAAATGGACCCAGCTCTACTGTGTGCGCAACCAAACAGAAAATCACCCAATCCTAACTACATACTGCAAATTTTCCGGTCGATTTACTATACACTCTCACCAATGATTGCAGTTGGTATTCGGTGAAGTTTCTTCAACCGGAAATCTATTTCAAGGAGACTTGTTATTGGAAAACCAGAAACAATCGAAATTATGATTGAAGACAATCGTCAGTTAGCAAGTATGGAGACAACTAAACTGTATGGGGTCAATATTGGGTTAGAGCTTGAACAATCAGGGAAAATACATTCAGGACGCGAACAATTGCGCTTGGTGACGACAGTGGGAGGGCCAAGCTTCTAAATATTCGGTTTCCGTACGGTTCCCTTTGACCGTTCGTGGAAGCGGTAGAACGACCGCTTCTAATTAGCTTGTCAGGTCAAAGTACCAAGGTTCTTGTTTGAGAGAATATAGCTAATTTCCATCTGGAAATTTGCAGCGTGTAACTTTGGTGAGCAGCCTGCACACAGCCACCTGGTTGTCGGTTCGGCGGCAGTCCATCGGTTGTTACGTTCCACGAACAGATTAACTGACGGGCAGCGAGTGGACCCACCACAGCGGCCAATAATTCCACCGATGGTCAAAGGTTGATTTAAACGTTCCGCCTCTAAAAGGATCAACCTAGTAGCGGAACGTTGTGTTACAAATCGCAAACTCCGTAGGCTCTTTAAAACAGATTTATCCAAACCACTGTAATATGTCCATTTTTTTAAGGTCAACATGATGCAAAAGCCGCGTCCGCCCTACACATGATCAGTCAAGGTATCAGCTGTTTCGGTCCATGGGGAGTGAGCACATACTCACATGATTCGCTGTGCCAAACGGCTACCTAACACTTTGAAAACCACTGGCATTCTCTAGAAACTCCTTGTGAACTGCCAGCCGAGATAACAAGGTATGTGCGGAAGATTTCATATATTAACCTAGTCCAGAGTGTTTTCGCGGTTTGTACATTTATTCTCCAAGGAAGCAACATTCAGAAGCGCGTGTATTTCCAGGAATTTAGGTGGGAAACTGGGATAAATAAGAATTCGTAATGAACGAATAAGTGAATGAAAGAAATAACAAGAAATGAGACAGTGGGTTAAGGAGTCGGGGCAATGGCTTGGTAGATCCCCATGTGCAGCCATTCTATAGAGGTTTTCAAGCAACAGATGAAAGATATTTTACCTCACACAGCTGGAATCGTCAATCCAGGAATATGACCAACTGCCACAGCAAAAACATTGATTATACGGAATGGCTAATTTGGTAATCGTGCAGTTGTCAAATGGATCCAGTGCAGTTGTCTAAGCTTAAATAAGCGAACATATTACTGACGTACAACTCAAAGCGTAATCGGATCTTGCAGACACTGGATAGTGTTATTTTAAAAGCGCCATTCTGCAAACTTTTCCGAAGATCATAGACCCTCATTAAATTCTAGCCCACAGAAGATACCTCTAATTCAGTCAACCCACTGTACACAATAAATTCTGAACACCCACGACATTAAAGTGCCGTTCTGGAGTTCTGTCACCCAATCTCCCGTCTTCCAACGAGAGTAGAAAAACCGCCCATAATCTGTTGTCTAATAAAATGGTCATAGTCTCCGTCGGACCTTCAACAACATCTAGTTGGAAAGACGCGTTGTTGAAGAACACCATCATACTGGTGAACCATCCAACTGTTGCTGTTGCGAGACACCAATGCCCAATACCAGCGGACAACTTGCAACGATGCAGTCAAGCTGATTGCCGTCTCCTACATGTAACGCCAATAACAGCGGCGATGGTCAACTGACATACGAAGAACTCCAGTGATGTCGGTTCCTGCGAATTGACCCAAAAGTCGAGAAATCTCCTCAGCTGATCATTCACTACATTTCAGAAATTTAGATCGGCGCTTCACCGTAATTCAAGAGTCCTTGTGACAAAGAGTAAATGATTCTTTAAAACAGAGCGTTCCCTCACGTTTTCTTGAACATTTCTGGATATCCACTGACTATGACGCAATAGTAAATGAAGCAGTTTCCGAACTTCTGTAATGAAATTCACATTCCAATTGAAGTGGAGCGGAAGACTCCTCAGTAAAAGACGTCATTACACAACAACAGTACGAGTATAGATTCTTATTGATTTGGTGTGTGTTGATCCTCGAACTCTGCCCATGGCGTATTGTAAGGTCATGTTTCTCAAGGTATTTCTCGAACTGCTTTGCAGTGTCCCTTCACATTTTTCAGTGAATAACCATGAATGTCCGAAAAGAAGCATGAGAAATCCCATTTTTTGGAGACGATATCAGATAGCTTGTAAATGTTTAGTCGGCGTTTGCTACTAAATAAATTTCTAATGCCCTTCAAGGGCGGGACAACGAGTACCGATACAATTCAACCATTGGACCTCATTTCAGGATTTTCATTACTTAGTTAACCGAACTACTCGCCAGATCGTCCTGCATGGATTCAGCGTGATTTGAAGCGGCGAGTGATGGATGCGACCAAAATACATGCCATTTGGCAGTTGCTTTGTCGCAACTATTGATATCAAGCATTAGGCCATTTCCCGGCATAGCTTTATACAGGGGCCTACAGAGGAATGATTTAGGTCTCATATGTAATGCACAAGTTTGTTATTCCTACATGCTGTTCTCAGGCTAGAACGAATCAAGCTTGAAGAGTCTCCAGATTCATTACCTGCGGATTTGTCGATCGCCTGACATGTCAGTGAAATGTGATTCACCTCAAGATTATGTTTATAAAATATAGGATCATACACTATTTTGCTTTGAGTGTGGCCGATTCGCCAGAACTATTAAACTCAAATGTGCATACGTTGATCCACGTTATTCGGAAACCGACATCGCCAACCGTGCGTGTATTATTTTGCGGTACATTAAGTGGAACCACCATCACCACCCTGGTAAAATGCACGAGAATTCCTAGGACTTTGATGGTCTTTAAGCCACCATCATATGGAAGAAACGCTCCTAGACTCCGCAGTACCGTGGCCTCATGTGACCTGGTGAACAAACCAGGTCTCAGAAATCTCAACAAAGACCAATGTCCTGGAAACGACATTCGGTTTTACGCCAATCAGACTCTTTTCGGAAGCCCGCGAAACGCTAGGCAATATGACTCAATAATAATTCCATTCTAATATCCTATTCTATTCGATGGTATGATCAAGTAGTGTGTATTCGAAATAATCATATGGAATGCCATTTTGATTAAATTCCCCGGCGCACTGTTGCATGGGCTACTGTGGGAAAATTGAAGAAAAAATTACACCTATTAAAAGAAAGCTCAAGCCGAGTGTTTCTTGCTTCCTGCCAACTTTTATCATTCTCAGCCAACAGAGCTTCTAAACACATGCAGGTTTCGGTTCAGAAGGCCTCTCAAAGTTCAGCTGAGATGCTATTATATTTCGAGTCCATCAATAATGCCACAAATTTCAGCAACACGGTCCATATTCTCACCGATGTTCCACAACGAGCAAATATCAAATCATCCAATCGGAAACCCTTTGGGTAGGTGTCCTAGAACAAGCAGCCGCGGCTCCTGCACCATCAGAGGCGCGCCAATAGAAGCGACCCCAAACCCATTGAGCGATCGGTTGAGCAA